GTCCCCGGGAAAGGGGAAAGGAGGGGGAAATTGTGCACTTCTGTCATCCCTGGGTTTCATTTATTTTGAGTTGCCCTTTGGGTTTTAATTGGCTAATGACGTGCCACCTGCAACCTTGAAGAGGGGTTGAAAGAGTGTTGACCCTAACGTTTTTCCCCCCACCCCACCCTTCTTTGAGCCCCCCAAGGGGGACCTCGTACTTGGGCCCAAAATCAGCTAAAAAGGACTATCCCCGGGTAGTTCCCTTGCCCCCGTTTTCGCACAAAGAATAGCAAAAAAGGTAGTGATTGTTCCCGTCTGTAGGAATCCCCCAAAGGAAAACCTTTGGGGACTGGGGATGACAGGCAGGGATAATTTTGTGGATTTTTTCCCTAACCTTTTTTAATCTTCCCTAAATATTTTTGGCGTGAATTTAGAAACCTTGATCATTTTGGGAATTTTTTTAGGAACCCAAAACCCAAGAAATAATTTTTTTTAAAGCTTTGAAAATTTGCTTTAGTATTAAAAACTGCGCATGGGAATTGTTTTTTTTTTTCGGATATCGGTTACCCCTATCCATAAGGGTAAATAAATACTGTTTTCCCCCGATTTTGGGCCTAGGTAGTGGCCCTCCCAACAATTTTAAAATTTAAAACTGAAAAAGGTTCTCCATCGGAAAGGAAAGGGTTTGGAGAGGGCGGGTTTTTAAAGGGAAATTTCCCGGTTTTTCCCCTTTTATTGCTGTTTTTTCTCGGCAAAACACCTGATATGATTCTTCCCCTCCTTTTTTTTTAATTTTTGGGCCCAAATTTAAAATTTTTTGTGATTCTATAACAAGGGTTTTTAGAAATTTCCCTAAGGACCCCCTTTTGAAGAATTTTGAGCTACAAAAAATATTTGAGGTCTAAACTTTGTGGCCCCACTAACCTGTCAGACAATTGCTGGCCCTCTATCTCCAAAACCCGTCTCAGTGCGATCAAATAATCGTTTTTAAATTCCTTTCTTGAAACCGGAAAGATCCAAAGGGATTTACCCCCTGGGCCCGCCTTTAAAAGCCGGGAATTTTTTAAAAAAAGGGGGCCTTTTGTTGTTTTTCCCCCCGGGAAGGGCACCCTCGGGCATTGGAAACAGAGGTAACGGGAAAACCTGCAACCTGGGAATAGGGGAAAGGGTTGATCGGGGGGGCTGTTCACTTGAAATTTTTTAGGCCTTTGGGCCGGTGTGCCTATAAAAAACGGGCTATTCCAGATAAGTGTCCAAGGATAGGTCAAAATTTTTCGCCAGACAACCCTTGGGATTTGCCCGAGTTATGGCCAACACCGGGGAAAAAAATTAAACATTATAGGTTCAGGACACCACTCATAGTAATGTTTTTTACTATAATTAAAAATGGCATCTTTCTTGGGGGAAACCCTTTGGAAAAACCCCCAGTCCCGTACCCCGTGTAAATTTTCCAAAAATACCTAAATTTTTGCAAAAGGGGCAGAATATAAAAATCCTCCAAAAGCTTCCAAAAAACAAAAGGAATTTTAAGGAAGTGTTCTTTGAAAGGGGATATTCCCTCTCCCTTTTTAAAAAAGGGAGCATTTTGTCCCTTTTCTCTAAAGGGGTTTTTAAATTTTAGTTGTTTCAGAGTTTTCCGAAAGGAAATAGGGCCTTACAAAAAATAAAGGGGGCCCCCTTTTTTTACTTCTCTCGGGGGAAAAGTTACTAGGGGTATTAAAGATTTTCCCCCGGGTTTGGGGGGGTTTTGGGGGCAGGGGACGGATGTACCTAAATTTGTTTTCAGAGGAAGCAGACGAAGGCTTGGCCCCTTTTTTCCCCCCGCTAACCCTTTGCCCAATGGTGTCGTTTTGGCTGGGTCTCCTGAATAATGTTGTCGGGTTCACCATGTTGAGTAGTTTGTCTCTCAGCAGGTTTGGGCCATTTGTTGGGGAAGGGGCTCACCAGGTGACCAAATTTTGGGGGGACGTTTGACTTCTTCCCCCCGGGGGCACTTCATTCTCCAAGGTTGACGTTTTCGCTCATGCCAGGGTGTTTAAAAAAGAGACTGGCCCGTCGGGGGAAGGGGGGTTTGGTTTTTAAAAGGAATTTAGCCAACCGGCTGCCTCCAAAGCAGTGGGTTTTTAAATCACGTTTCCTTTCAGAAAGACTCGACCCCCCCGGTCCCACAGACCCCGCAGGTTGTCAATTTAGAATAAGCTGCACCAATCCCAAAAATTTCCCACACCAAATTGCTTTATACCCCGCTGGTAATAGCTTTGGGGCTGCTTTTCCACAAATCAACCCGGGGTTGACCAAGCTGTCCCCCCTGCTTAATTTAAATAAATTTACGATATTTTTGCTGGGATAAAAGGTATATGCTCCCAAAAAAAGTGGCTTCACTACTTGATAAAACAGAAAAAATTTAGTGTCCATTTAAAACTGACATAAATTCCTGGCCTTAACCCAAAAAATGCGTGTGAACCAACGGGTGCCCCCAAGGGAGGGTTTCCCGGGCCCCCTCAAGGCATTTAGCCTGATTTTCGAAGCTTTCGAAAAAAAATTTTTCTGGTTTGGCCTCATTGAAGGGGGGGAAAAAGCTGTACTGCTTTCCCGTAACCAAAATTTATTTCCAGAATGCAAAAAACTGCCTCCTTTCCCCCTTTCCCTATCCCAAAATTTTTCTTTTGCAAATTTTCTCTTGTTCCCTTTTGCTCAAAATTGAATTTTTTTGCCAGCTCAAGGGGGGCCCCAAAGGGCCCCGAATTTAAACCCTTTAGGGCAACCCTGCTGCACTAGACCCGCCCATTTTGCCCCTTGATATATAAACCCTTTCCCCCTGCGAGAAAAATAGTAATTTTTGCCTAGCTCCCGTAAAGGGAAAGGGAAACTGATGTGCCAAACTCCCTTTTTCTCAAAAATTTCAGTAATCCCGTTTAACGCAGTTGCACAGCTGTGGAGGTTTTGTTCGAAAATTAAAAGCCAATGGAACGAGCAATTGCCAAAAACGCTGTAGCGAAAATTTAGGTAGGGTTTTTAAAAAAAGTTTATGCCGACACCAGAAACCTTTTACCCCGTCTAGGTGGCAAAACCACAAGGGATAAGTTTTTTGCAAAGCACAGTTCGATTTTCAGAATACCCCAAAAAACACTTTTTAAATTTTCAGAACACGCTTAGTAAGCACAGTCATTGCAGAATTCCCCAACAAAAGGGAGATATGCAAAGCAAAGCGACTGCAAAATTCCACACCGAAAAGGCTAGTTAAACAATGACACGCAAAAATTTTTTAAAACAAAAAGCCCCGACAGTAAGCTTTCACAAATGTTCTACAAGATTTTACTGTCGAAGCGAAACACACCCCAACAAGCTAGTTTGCGAGCGTTTAAAGAACAAAAAGCAAAGGGTGACCCAAAACAAAGCCCCCTGACAAGCAAAAAATTTTTAAACGTTGGAAAAACTAAATTCAATGCCGCAGCAAGTGCAAATGTTCCCGCTACCACTTCACCCCAGGCTCAACCCTTTTTCCTAAGTCCAGGGTCCAAACCTCGGGCCCGTTTTGCCCCTATTACAAAACCCCGGAGTCCAAAAAGGCCTGTTATCCTGGGTTTTTAAAGGGGCAAAAAAAACACAGGGAGAAAAGTTTTTGACTTATAAATTTTCCTTCATCAATTTTGAAAAGCAATATGTTCACCCATAAAACACTTGTTAACCAAACCCCCCCAAAAAAAAAAAAGGAAATTTGTGCAATCCACAGTTAAACAAAGGGAGAAAAAAAGCCAAATAGAGAGCAGACTGTGCTTCAACCAAACTCTAGAATGGGAATGACAAGGGCAGAAAGGAGAGGGAAACCCCCATAACGTCTGCGATTTGCCAAAAAAACCCCTTTTTTATTGGCTGGAAACCCGGGTTTCTAAAAATTTAACGACGGGGGGCCCCCTTCGTCAACTCTCGTCACCGGTTCGCGGTTGGGGGGGAAGCCGTAAATGAGGGTGTGTAAAAAGCCCAAAAAAAAGGGTTTCATTTTCTTTTCGCCAAAATACGTTCACAAATTTTTAGTGTCCCCAAAAAAATAGATCTACGTTTTTTAAAATATTTTCAAAAAGATATAAAAAAAAAACGTAGATCAAAGTTTTTGGACACGCTTTCAAATGTAAAAAAAAAAATCCTTTCTTTTTTTACATACTTTCAAATGTTGAAAAAAAAAATAATCAAAATTTGGGGCCCGTTTTTAAAGGGTTTTAAAAGGTTTTTAAAAAGAATTTTATTATTATAATCAAAAAAGAAGCGCTAAGCCACAAGGGAAAAACAGCGTTTTATACAGTAGTGTACTGTATATTGTAATAAATAGAATAGAGGAACTCAGCATATTGGTTAGAGCACCCGTCATAAGTATGAATAGTCGGTAAACGAGTACATCACTAAGTGAGGAGAGACTGCACTGCATACTAAAAAATATCAGGCAAAACATGGTATGAGCCATTGCTTATCAATGTTGTCGCACTGTGTTCACACACACAGTTCATTGCTTAGAGTATGTTTACAACAAATAACAATGAAATTAGGCCATTAATTTTATTTTTTAACATTGGTTTTTACATGACCAAGGATTTATGGCATGGTCCTGTATATCATCCAGCAGTATTGTATACTCCACTGCTCCTGGTCATTCACTGGGATCCTGTAAGGCAGTATACCCAGTGAAAATGTATTCATGGAAAAAACTTACATGCACAGTATTGTACAGAAATATGTAGATGTTGCTGATGTATTGGTTTATTTTAATGACTTGCAGAATGTACCATATACATTAATTTTATGAAGTTAATTTTTAAAATATGCCTTAGAGATAAACATTTTTATCCAGTGGTCACAAGTGTTGTCTGTGGATGTGACATTTGTGAGGGGTCTTAAAAATATGTCCCCTGCCATCTACTTCATTGCCTTACAAAATAAACATTTATAGATGCAGTGTTAATTTTTCACATATACATATTCTTTTATACACAGTCAAAATATTAACTGTGTCACAATCATTGTAGGACTGGTGAGTTCTGTTTATCCTCCAGACCAAGTATTAAATGAAGCTGTTAAACTTGGAGAAAAGATTGCTCAACACTCCAAGCTGATTGTAGCTATATGCAAGGAGTCCATAAACAAATGTGAGTTGTAACCTAAATTTGTCACTTCTTGTTCAGTATACAACCAAATAAAATAGCATGTATTCTAGAATATATATGTATATATACTGGTAGGTATGAAGTGAGATATGTTTTCTGGAGCACATTACTTACTTGAGGCAAAAATTATTGCTACAGCAAGATTAAATAGTTTTTTTTTTTGCATTCATTTTTTCATGCATTATTAAACACTACCACCTCTCACCAAGGCAGGCAGCAACCACCATTTGGTAAGAGCAGACATCATGGTTAAAACAACCCTCTGAATTCGCAGCAATGGTTTCAAGTTGGAAAAATTCAGATTCAGAAAGGATATAGGAAAGCACTGGTTTGGTAATAAAGTTGTGGATGAGTGGAACAAACTCCCGAGTACAGTTATTCAGGCTAAAACGTTGTGTAGTTTTAAAAATAGGTTAGATAAATACATGAGTGGGTGTGGGTGGGTATGAGTTGGACCTGACTAGCTTGTGCTGCTGGGTCTGGTGCAGTGCTCCATCCTTGAGTGGAGATGATCAGACTGGGTGGGTCATTGGTCTAATCCGGGGGGCGACATGGACCTGCTCTGCATGGGTCAGTAGGCCTGTTGCAGTGTTCCTTCTTTCTTATGTTCTTAACTATAACATCCTCACTTTCTTCAGAGTGCAGCCACTGCACTTCCTATATCCAACACACAAGTCTGGCTAATTGGTTTTCTGAATCCCTTCATGTTACCTTGCTTACACTCCAAAAGCATTTAAAGTCATAGAAACCACTTGTCTCCACAGTATTAAAACACTTGTACAAGCTGGATGCTCAAGCCCCTAAGTCTCTATCTAACCCTTTTGTCCCAGATTTATATACTCTTGGTCATCTTATTATACTCTATTCTCTCTAGATGCTCAAATCACCTTAATGGCCCTTTTTCAACCCTTGAAATTATAATTTTTGTTCTGAATTCTTTGCATAATATACACACCACACATTGCTCTTGAATATGACATCTCCACTGTCTGTATTCTCCTTAACCCTTTGACTGTTTCAGGCCCCTCTCTGAAACTGTCATTCTATGTCGCTCAATTTTTGAAAAAAAAAAATTATTATTTTTTCTTATGAAATGATAGAGAATCTTTTCCCGATGGTAATGACACCAAAAGTTCGAAATTTGGTCGAAAACTCGTGGAATTATGCTCCCGCGAAGTTAGCGGTCTCGGCGACATATGCGTATCGGCGATTTCGCCGACTTTGAGCCCTATTTTCAGCCAATTCCATTGTTCCAGTTGACCAAACTCATAGCTATTTCTTTAGAACTCCATTTTATCTATCAGCTGAGTACAAGAAACCTCCAATTTACTAATTTGGACTACCCAATATGGTCAGAAATTGGCAATTTGGCCAATTTCACGCAAACTAAAAAAGATGCCAATTTCAAAATAGGGTCCAGAATAAACAAGATAGACATTCGTGGCACTAAAATAACATATGCTCTGTTCATTAGTCACATCTCTAGGCCCCTCTTATATTATTATTGCTTTCTATTTTGATTTTTTATTCATACAAAAAAATACAAAATTTACTGTTATGCAGACGACTGCATTATTGTAAAAATGGTATAAATAATATCAGTGCACTAGTGAAAGAATATTAGACTCCCCAGTTGACGTGTATTGGACGTGTGGTGTGATTTATTTACTCTTGAACATTGGTAAAAATCGAACATTTCCGCTACTTTGAGCTCAGTTTCAAGGTCGTTTTCATCGTAAAAGTAATGAAAATCATCTCTATTTCTGTAATATGTTTTCCATTTTATCACCTAAGACCATGAAAACGCGAATACAACGATAAATACTATACGAAAATACACCTCAAAGTCGGCGTTTTATTCCAAAAAAACGATCAGAGTTTTTTTTTTTCTCATTACGCAATGTGTGCTGCAGGATTTTTTTTATGTGGTGCACACTGACCACACAGACGCATTCTCTCACATGTGGGCCTACCAGCTTTCTCCCGCTTGATTTGAAGCCGCTAGAATTATTGAGTATATATACGTCAGAAACATTGGCTCGTAAAACGTATTTATACGTCGAAAACAGTCAAAGGGTTAATGTAACATTTTAAATACATCCCTCACACTCTTATACAATTGTTTGTACTACTGTACTCTAGTGGATTTCCCTTTTTGTCTCCATTGAATAATGTCTCTCTTTCCGCAGATGCCTCAAGACACCACCTACGGTTTCACCCCCCTTCCCCTTTCTCATCTTTCATAGACGTATCTACTGACATCCACTCTCATATATCTGATTACATTCACTTCTTCCCTACTCCTTCCAATTTGATATCCAGTCTTTCAGTGACTGTTTTTTGTTACTCTCATTACTTTGCTCTTTTCCATATTCACATTTAATTTCCTTTTGCATGGCCTCCTAAAAGAACTGTCATCAGCAAAGAGCAACTGTGATACCACACTTTGTATCAGTGTGACCATCTTTCAGTCTCACAACTCTGTATCCTAACACCTAAGATTCACTTACTTAAAAACTTTATCTGTAAATATTAAATGACTATGGAGGCATCACACATCCTGTCTAAGGCCTACTTTCAATGGAGAATAGTTCCTTTCCTATATACTATAATCTGAGCCTCACTTTCTGAATATATTTGCAACATCTTCCACATTGCTTTCCAGTTCACCCTATCATGCCTGTTCTTAATTGCAACAAATGGTCCTTAAACTTATCTATGTATTGTTCATCTGTATGCTTCAGTGTAAATAATTGGTATACACATTCCCTACTCCCTAAATCTTCTGTCCCTTTACAAATCTGCTTTATCTTACCCTTAATTCTTTTGCTAATACAGGTAATTCAGCAGTACTATTCACTTTACCCAGTGCAATGTATTCAGCAGGCTTATTTGACATTAAATCACTACGCACACTAGTCGGTCTTTCCTTAGACAAAGGATTATTATAATCAAATAAAGTGCTAAACCGACAAGGGTCATACAGCGCTGTGGGACAGAAAATAGTGCCGGGGCTATAAACAGCTAAGTGGAGAGGGGATCAGAGGTGAGAGGAGAAAAGGGCTGGAAGGGACGCTAAGGGCTGTGTGGCAAAGTTTGTATAGTAAAGCAGTTGCTGACAAAGTCAAAAAGTGATCATAAGTCAAAGGCAGGGCTGTCTGCAAGAAGGGAAGATAAGGTAAGAGTGGTAGGGTTGTGGCGTTGGTGGAGGTAAATCCTGCGAGCTCGCTGGTAAACTAGACAATCCACAAGAACGTGACGAACTGAAATAGGGACCCGACAAACCTAACAGAGAGGAATAAGGTGTCGTTCCATGAGATACCCATGGGTAAGGCGAGTATAGTCAATGTGAAGATGGGAGAGCACAGTCTCCCGAGTACGGCAACGGTGGTAAGATGGCCACAAACCTAAAAGCAGTTTAATAGCATGAAATTTGTTATGGTGCGTGTCTGACCACCATTGTTGCCAAGGGCTCTGAAGACTGGCAGAGATGACTGCAAAATAATCCCTGAACAGAATACCTCTATAGGAAACTGGAAGATCACGTACCACTGACTGTACAGCAACATCCGCCTTTTCATTGCCCTGCACATCAACGTGTCCAGAGACCCAACAGAAAACAATGTCTTTTTGCTAGCTACACAGCACAACCATAGTTGAATATGAAGGACAAATGGATTAGGGGAATCAAATTGTTTAATGGCTTATAAAGCACCGAGGGAATCTAAAATGATCACAAACATCGAAGGAGACACGGTATATGTAATACGGAGAAGCGCTATGAGGATGACATACAACTCAGCAGTAAAAATACTAACCCAGTCTAACGAGTGACTTTAGACAACATTGTCAGGGAACACTGCTGCGAACCCAACACCATCAGAAGATTTAGAACCATCTGTATAAAGAGCGACGGCACAAGCATGCGACCGGAAGTATCAAGAAAAAGAGAGCGAGAAGCAGCTGTAGGTTTGAGAGGGGGAGGAAAGGGAAAAGGGTGGATGGGGAGGATGGGATAGGAAAGGGGAGATTGGGGGGTAATTAGGTTTGGTCTGAGGAAGGAGACCAAAAGGTCTAATTCCTCACCATGCCAAGGAGCCCCCCATGAGAGGCTTATACAAAGGAACTCTGCTCATCCTTAGGTACCTTTCCTTCTTTCATGTATATTTTGAACAAATACACCAAGCACTCCAAAACTATATCCCCACCTGCTTTTACATTTTTATTATTATTATTTTTGCTATTGTTCGTGGGAAGTGCTAAACCTATAGGGGTTATACAATGCCAGGAGAATGGGATTATTATTATAATAAAAAAGAGGAGAATGGGAATTAACAGGTTTGATCAAAGGGAAAGGGGGAAAGATAGCTTCAATTCTTTAGATGAAGAGATCTTGACATTGAACAGTTGCTTGCTTAGTGCTTGTCAGTTTCATTGTTAATGATAAAATTATGACTTGTTACTGTTGCATAGTTTGCCAAATAGTGTAAGTGTCACACTTATGGTCGTTACAACATCAGCAGTTTACTCAATTTTTAGATGCAAGAGTCGAGGCTGTATAGCAATTTTATAATAGTAATGGAATACAGTAGTACAGTAGCCCAGAAACATTTCAGTGCAGCTCATGGTGATCAAACAAGGCCTGGTATTTCAAATTAATGATATAAACTGGCTTCAGTGTTCAGTAAAAAATGTATAAAGCCTGAAATTAGATAGTATATAGATACAAAAAGGGGTTACCATTGCTTCGGGCATTTTAGTCGACTTTTACAATATGCATGGCTTATGGAGGAAAGAGTCTTATTCCACTTCCCCTTAGATATGAGAGGAAAAATAATGATAAGAATTGTTAAGAAAAATCAAAGAAAACTTGGATGAGTGTGTATACATGCATGTGTAGTGTGACCTAAGTGTAAGTAAGAGTAGCAAGATATACCTGTTATCTTGTGTGTTTATGAGACAGAAAGACACCAGCACTCCTACTATCACGTAGGATGGTAGGAGTGCTATCGTCATTTGGCAGGACGGTAGTACCTCCCTGGGTGGTTGCTGTCTACCAACTTACTACTCTATACAATATAAAGGGAAAGGGGATAGAAGAGAATGTAAAAATTATAGGGGAATAAGTTTACTGAGGATACCATGTAAAGTATATGGTAGGGTTATTATTGAAAAAATTAGAGGCGAGATAGAGAGCAGGATCCCAGATGAACAAGGTCTTCGAATGGGTAAGGGATGTGTAGACTGAAGCATATAAGTGAACAATATTTAGACAAAGGTAGGGAAGTTTTTGTTGCATTTATCAATTTAGAAAAAGCACATGATAAGGTAGATAGGGGAGCAGTTGTGGCAGATGTTTCAAGTGTATGGAAAGGTAGTAACTAAATGCTGTAAAGAGTTTTTATGAGGATAATGAGGGTAAGGTTTGTGTGCATGTAGGAGAGAGAGAGATTACTTTTCAGTAAAATTAGGCCTTAGACAGGGATGTGTAATGCCACCATTGTTGTTTAAGATATTTATAGATCGGTTGTAAAAAGAGTAAATGCTAGGGTGTTGGGGAGAGGGGTGGGATTAAGTTTTCGGCAATCAAATGCAAAATAAGAGTTTGATACAGTTACTTTTTGCTGATGAACTGTGCTTTGGGAGATTGTAAAGAGAAGTTGCAAAGGTTGGTGGACAAGTTTTGGGAGGGGTGTAAAGGAACAAAGTTGAAAGTGAACATAGATAAAAGTAAGGTGATGAGGGTATCAAACAATGGGATATCACATTGGAGGGAGTGTAGAAGACGTGAATGTGCTCATATATTAGAAGTAGATGTGTCAGTGGATGGGTTTATGAAGGACAAGGTAAAACCACAGAACTGATGAAGGAAAAAGGGTGGATAATGCATTGAGGTATCTGTGGAGACATTATCATGGAGGCAAAGAAGGGGATGTATGAGTATCAAGCATGGGTTGCAAATGCTGCAGCAAGGAGGAGGCTGAAGGCAGTAGAGATGTTGTGTATAAGGGTAATGTGTGGTGTATATATTACTCATGAAAATTTGTAGTGTGGAAATTAGGTGTGGAGCTACTAAAAGTATTATTCAGAGGGCTGAGGAGAGGTAGTTGAGGTGGTTTGCTCATATAGAGAGATGGAGCAAAAAGGATGATTGGAGGGTGTATGAATCTGTAGTGGTGGAAGGAGGGGCAGGGGTCATCCTAGAAAAGGATGGAGAGAGGGGGTGAAAGAAGTTTTGTGTGCAAGGGACTTGGACATACAGCAGGCATGTGTGAGCACATTAGATAGTGAATAAAATGAATGGTTTTTGGGATGTGATGAGCTGTTGGAGTGAGAGCAGGGTAATTATTTGTGAAGGGATTTCAAGGAAACTGGTTAGCTGGATTCGAGTCCTGGAGGTGGACTTGCACTTTAACGGAGAGGTTTGGGATATTGGTTGTTTGGGGTGACATTTGAACTGTTGTATCTGGCACCTCTGCAAAGACAGGATTGTGTGAATGATGGTAAAAGTGTTTTTGGTTTTGGGTCTCCCTGCCTCAGTGGGAGATGGCTGATGTGTGGGAAAAAGTAGAAATACAAAACACAATTACCATACATTGAAGTAATATACTGTATACAATAGTCAGGAATAAAGACTTGGTATAAGTTAAGGCTAGGAATTCTATTTGTACAATAATTGACTTAGTAGTACAATGCTTGCACTCTGAGAAGGGGGTGGGGATAGTGCAGTTTGAAGGAGCATCTGAGCTTGTAATAAGATTTTAATACAATTGTTTGAAATTAATCACTTCTTTTATGCTACTTAAAAGTTTAGTTTTGTCTTGCTAACTTATTTTTTTTTTCTAGAATGAAGCCTCACTGATGCATCTTTCTCTAAATATTGATTTACTTACATTCTTCTTCTATGATCTTATACTGTATTTACTTGCAGCATTTGATTTGTCACTGAGTAAGGGCTGCATTTGAAAGACTATTATTCTATGCAACTTTTGCTACAGTAAGTATAAACATTCCATGAATTTCAAACATTTTTTATTATATATGTGGTATTGCATACCATCAGGTATGTTAATAAGACACAATATGCAGTTTATGGCATTTTATTGACAGGACGTTTCATCCACCAGGGACTACAGCAATTCAGGAGAACTGAAAAACAACTGACAGTAATCAGTAGTCAAAATGTTGTCTTGATAAAAATGCCATAAACCACACATTGTCTTATTAATAAATACAACCTCTCCTCACTTAACGATGGAGTTTGGTCCTGAGACCATGTCGGTAAATGAATTCGTCACTAAGCGAGAAGTATACTTTATAATGGTAGTGGGTTTGTGTCAACCATCTTTTATGTTGTTTTAATGTCACCTTTGCACCATTTATAGCATTTCTGGTATATTTTTAGATGTTTATACAGTAGTGTACTGTTTATTGTAATAAACAGAATAGAGGAAATCAGCTCTAACATACAATATTTAGGTATACATACTGGTCAAAGAGCCCATCATAAGTCCGAATTGTCAGTAAACGAGTAGTCGCTAAGTGAGGAGAGTCTGTATTATGTTCATTTAACCCTTCAGGGTCTGTGCCGTAGGCTTGACGTTCAGGTCCAAACCGTAGATTACGCCATGAGCTTGGCTCACTCTGATAAGCTGCAAGCGGTAAATTTGGGCCTAGATATGAGAGAATACATCTATGTGGTATGTGTGCACCACATAAAACAAATCCTGCAGCACAGTGTATAATGAGAGAAAAAAAACCAAGGCCGTAATTTTCGATTAAAACAGCGACTTTGCGGTATTTTTTCGTATGTTTTTTATAGTTATATTTGCGATTTCTTGGTTTCATTTGATAGAATAGAAAGATATGTTACAGAAATAGAGATGATTTTGATTGGTTTTAGCATGGAAAATGGCTTGAAACTGAGCTCAAAGTAGTGGAAATGTTAAGTTTTTGCCCATGTTCAAGAGTAAACAAATGACCTCACATGTCTAATACACGCCAGCTGTGGTGGTCAAATATATGTTCACAAATGTGGTGATATTATTTATACAATTATTACAATATTGCATAACAGTAAATCTTCTATTTTTTGGTTTGAATAAAAATTCATTATGTGAATTAAAAAATCAAAATGGAATTAATTTGTAAAGCCTGAAAACATAACTAATGAACAGAGGAAATGTTAGTTTAGTGCCAGGAATGCCTGCATTGTTTATTCTGGACCCTATTTTGAAATTGGAATATTTTGAACTTTGCACTAAATTGGCCCAAATTACCAATTTCGATCACTTTATTTTGTAGCTGAAACAGTTGACTCGGCAATTTCTTGTGCTCAATCGATAGAATAGAAGTAATACTAGTGAATAGCTAAGAATTGGTCGACTGGAATAATGTAATTGGCCTAAAATGGGAGTCAAAGTTGGCAAAATCGCCTATGCGTAAATATCACTGACACATCAAAATTCGTGAGAGCACAATTTCGTCAGTTTTCCATCAAATTTCGTACTTTTTGTTTTATTACCTTCAGAAAAAGATTCTCTACCATTTCAATAAGAAAAAATAAAATTATTTTTTGAAATTCTTGGATCCTGGTGCACACTTTAAAATTTGGCCTCTGGACCCTGAAAGGGTTAAATTATGCTATTTATGTGCATAGTGTTTGTCTTTATGACTAATTAAAATGAACAGAAATGTTATGAAATAGTGTACAGTGGACCTCGGTTAACGCTGTTTTTGGGCTGAAATTTATATTCCGGAAATCTGCTGTATTTACGCTTATCGGCCGAATTGGACGTGTTCGTCCCCCACCAGCCCACCGCCAGCCAGCCAGACCAGCCAGCCAGCCAGCCACTTGCACTTCGTGAGTCAGCTGGTTGTGTCTTGGGCGAGTGTGAAAACTTCTGCTCATTCAAACCAAACCTTTCGTTATAATCCATTGTTTTTTGTGGTTATTTGAGTGCAGCTGCGAAATAAGCAACCAGGGCCCCCCAGAAAAAAAAAAGTTCCTATTTATGTAAAGTACCCTTGCAAGAAATGAGAACATGATGGAAATTAAAGAAAGTTTTGATAGTAAGAGAATGGTGTTCAAATGCTAGAATCTTGCCAGAAAGTAAGGGAAATCCAAATCAACAATCACGTCCATCCTGCAAGATAGTATAAATCAATGAAGCTGATGTCAAACGGGAGTTTACAGGCAGGCAGGGAGTGTAGTGGGGAGGCAGGATGTGTAGCATGCAGGGAGGGAGTGAACTAACCCCAGAGGCTTTGATACCCTGGAATCCCTTATAGAGGGGGAAACCCCTTCCAAACAATATCATCCACCCTCCCTCTCTTCCAAACCAAGAAGATTTTTCAAAAAGGCATGTAATAGTGATATAAATGTTCAATTTTATTAATTTTATCTAATTCTCATTGTTTCTGAGTATGTAAAACTATAATTAATCTTAAAAAAATATATTTTTTTGTTAATATTTTGGGTGTCTGGGAACAATTTTTAATTGAAGTATTTAACATAAATTCCTTCATGGTAATGTTATATCGGTTATTTAGCCGACCTGGAACGGATTACAGCAGATAACCGAGGATTCACTGTACTATATAGGAATGAATATGTACAGGAGGGTCCCTGTTTTTTCAGACCCCATTTTTGTGACCCACTATTGCGGCAATTTTTCATTGATCCATTGTTAATTATGATTGGCACTCTTTCTGCTTTTATCTGCCTGATTCGTGCAACACTGCATACGGGAGGGGCATACAATATCCACATTTTACAGCAAGTATTGCGGGTACTGAGCAATCAATATAATTTTGATTTTTTTTTACGCAAAGTTGGTTCATAGTAGGGTGCCAGGGTATTAGTAAAATGGGGAGCCTTGCATTGAGCTGTGTGTAGAAAGAGATTTGGTAATAAGAATACATACTTTATTAAAAAGAGGAAAATAAAGATAAAGGTATGATTGAGCACTAATGAAAGTAGTTTCTTAGATAAAGATTGTGGATAAAGTTTGATGGTAGGCTCCAGATGTACATGTTTATAGTATGCAACAGAGATATATCATATCATAATTTAGGTTAGTACTACAGTTAGAGTAAGTGTAGATGGAAAAAGAAGGTAGGTGCAACAACAAGTACGAGGGAGGTGAAAAGTGTATAAACTACGGGTAACCCTAGATAAAGGACAAGTGCCTGTGGCTTACATCTATATATGTCAGATATGAGGATTCGTGTGAGATATAAGTGACTATTGGCAGAAAGGTGGGCAAGTGCAAAGATGAGTAGTGGGGGGTTTGAAGAAGGTTGGAATATTTTTAAAAATGCAGTATTAGAATGTGTGGCATAAGTTTGAGGATATAGGGGATGGGGGCAGAGGAAGAGGAGTGATTGGTGAATGATGAAGTAAAGGGAGTGATAAAAGAGAAAAAAGGTACTTATGAGAGGTTTTTACAAAGCAAAGTGTTATAAGAAGGCGAGTATATGGAAAAGTAAAGGAAAAGGTAAAGAGAGTGGTGAAGAGTGCAAAATGAGAGCAGATTTAGAGTGGGAGAGGCACAGGTCAAGAAATTTTAATGAAAAGAAGAAAAATTTGGATTGAGTTTAAACAAGTTAAGAAAGCCTAGGAAAGTAAATGGATTTGTCATTAAAACCAGAGTAGGGAGTTAGTAGAAGGTGAGAGAGGTATAAGTTAGATGGCGAGAATATTTTGAGGAACTTTAATGTTAAGGAAGAAAGAAGCGCAGTTAATTTCATGCACTGTCAGGGAAGGGTAAATACCAAAATCTTTAGGAGTGAAGAAGAGCAGAAATGTAAGTGTGGGTGAGGTACGCTCGGCCATTACTAGAATGAAAGGGGTAAAGCAGCTGGAACTGATTGGATTCATGACAGAAATTTAAAACCGGGGGGGATATAGTGTTGGAGGTGGTTGGTACGTTTTGTTTTAATAAATGTATTGAAAGAGTGAAGATACCTAGGAATGGCGGAGAGCATGTATAGTCCTTTATATAAAGGGAAAGGGGACAAAAGAGACCGTAACCATTATAGAGGAAAAAGTTTACTGAGTATACCAGGAAAAGTGTACGGAAGGGTATAATTGAAAGAATAGAGTAAGACAGAAGTATATTATTATAATCAAGGGGAGTGCTAAACCCGAGGAATTATACAGCAAGACAGAATGTAGATTTGCGGATGAGCAAGGAGGTTTCAGAGTGGGTAGGGGAGTGTAATCAAGTGTTTACATAGAAGCATATATGTGAACAGAATTAAGATAAAGGTAGGGAATGTGTTTTATTGCATATATTGGATATAGAAAAGCATATGATAAGTGGATAGAGGAGGCAATGTGGCAGATGTTTGCAAGAATAATGGAATAGGTGGTAAGTCATTAACCCTTAGTGAGGGTCGACAGGCCCTCTCCGAACTCGATCTCAGTCGCCAATTTAAAAAAAAAAAAACTAATTTTCTCTGTGAAAAGAATATAGAATCTTTTCCCGATCAAATGACACCAAAAGTTTGAAATTTTATGAAACAACGGAATTATGCTCTCGCGAGTTAGCGGTCTCACCGATGTTTACGCATCGGCGATTTTGCCCACTTGAGCCCCATTTTCAGCCAATTTCCAATGTATAATTCGACAAAGAACATGAATATTTCGCTGAACTAATTTTTTCTATCGACTGGGTGCAAGAAACACCCATATATCAATTTCCACTATCCAGACAGTGGTCAGAATTTAGCAATTTTGCCAATTTCACACAAATTTCAAAAGGATGCCAATTTTCCGAATAGGGTTCAGAATCAACAAGGAAAGACATTCCTGTCACTAAAAAGACATTTTCCTCTGTCATTAGTCAAATTACCAAGGCTCTCTATATTCTTTTGCTTCCACATTGAATTTTTATTCTTACCAAAATATAAGATTTACTGTTTTATGCAACTACTGCATTAGTG